AACAGGCCATCTACTCAGTTTTTCAAATAACCCCCCACTGTCTGTCTGACCACACGCACCAAAGGAGAGGTTGGGTCCATGTTACAGATGTCTGCTTGTACGGCTTAGGTGGTCACAGCATGAAAAAGAGCAATCCTGGACTACTGGACCCATGTCTGTAGCAATCTACAGCCTCCCTTCTCAGCATCACCCCCAATTTTTGAGGGCATAAGGAGTAGGCCTGTGCGAGTCGGCAGCGATCCAATCTGGCTTCGGATCCGGCCACTTCGGGTGGCTGCCATCCAATCCGGAGCTCTCGACTGGGTTTCCACCTCCATCCAGCCGAAGTGGCTCCGAAGCTTCAGAGCCACCTCAGAGATCCGGCCACAGGGTATAATGGGGAATCAATGAAATATCTATAACTTTGCTGTTTTTTGTCCGTTTTGGATGAAACTTGCAGAGATTGTAGCCTCTGCTGACAGCATAAGACCTACCAAGTTTCAAGAAGATCGGTACAAGTGTTTGGGGGGGAACCATACCCCAAGTTCTTGAAAGCAAAACTCATGTCACTGCTGTGTGTTATAACAGAGGGGGTCAAAACTGCAGGGCTGGTAGCTCTTACTGAGGCCACAAAGCCTGCCAAGTTTCAAGGAGATCAGTGCAGGGGTTTGGGAGAACTGCCCCTCAAGCTGCAGACAAGCAGAACTCGTGCCAGGGGTGACACTGCGTGTTAAGGTGCAGCGGGGTGACAACTGCAGGGGTGGTGGCCCCTGCTGTGACACCTGACAGCTGTGGAGGAGATCGGTGCAGGGGGGTTCTGGCTCTGGCCCCTGCCCCCCTAGCTGCTGACCGGCAAAACCGGTACCGAGCCTGTGTCTGTCTTGGAGCACTTGATTGTCTGTATTGATTCTTTCCTCTCCTTAGCCTGGTTTTGTAGGTGCTAATCGCTGCTCGTTAAGTCTTATGTAGTAGCTAGGTCCTGTGTATTGAGCTGTTCCCTGAGTCCCTGGTCCCCGAGTGAATCATGACTGATTGATTGGTAACTGGGCACACAGCAGCTCCGCAGCAGGCCTGCAGCACTGTCTCCCCTCCCGCCCCAAGACAGACAGTCAGTCCCACAAGCACCCATGGCATGAGTTTTGCTTGTCCACAGCTTGAGGGGCAGTTCCCCCCAAACCCCTGCCCCGATCTTCTTGAAACTTGGCAGGCTTTGTGGCCTCAGTAAGAGCTACCACCCCTGCAGCTTTGACCCCCGTGTTGTAACACCTAAACGCGACATGCTTTGCTTTCAAGAATTTGGGGTACAGGTCCCCTCAAACCCCTGCACCGATCTTCTTGAAACTTGGCAGGCTTCATCCTCTCTGCAGAGTCTACCAACCCTAGAAATTTCATTCAAATCGGACAAAAAACAACAAGTTATAGATATTTTGTTTCCCCATTATACCCTATGGCCGGATCTCCGAGGCGGCTCCGAACCGCTTCGGGAAGCCAAACGTAACCATCGCCTTGACCCAAACATGCTGCTTCGGACCCCGAAGCGTCCGAAGCTTCTCTGACTCTGAAGCTCTGTCCGAAGCCTCGCACAGCCCTAAGAAGGAGGAGGCTCTACATTATAATAATTCTTATTTCCCAAAATCATAATTATAGTTTTGATGAGTTGCTTTGTCCTGGAAAGATATTTGTGCTTGTATTTAGCATGTTTACCGAGGGCCTTACAATTTCATTAGAAGATTCAAAGTTATCTTGCTTTGTGATTCATGAGAACTGTCCTACCAAACCATCCAATGAGAAACAATGGCCAGCCACCCAGACTGCGGCCTTGGAAAAAAATTAATCCTCCTTCCTCTTTTGCAGACATTTGTGTTTGGGAGATACCTGAACTAATCCAAATTCCTTTTGCTCTGTCAACAAAGGATGAGCCAGGACACTTGAGCATATATGGTACAACAGGATTATGTAGTACACAAGATAGGTTTACAGATCTGTTTGGCCTCTGCTTACCAGAGGCAGGCTGGACAGCTGACATTAATCAACTCCCACTTATGGCTGGGAAGCACAAAGAAAATGAAAATAGCATCCTTATAGCAGCTATCTAATTATCACAAAATCCACACCAAGACACAAATCAAATTAATTGATCTGGGCCCACCCAGTACGTCCCTCACCATTAGTTACAGCCATAGTATAACACCCTCAACAGGTTTTAATAAGAACAGGAATGCAGGGTATAGTTCTTCACCTCCTTACACTGGTCAAAACGAGGAATAACATCAAAGCAAATGGAGACGTACAGGTCTTAGAAGCTGGGCCCATAGTGCTCAGGCCCATACTCCTCACAGCACTGATGCAAGCATTCCCTTCTAATATATAGACAGAGCAAATCCTGCTGCAGGACATAATGTGTTCGGTGAATAACCTGCTGCTTTACATCTTCTCTGAGCTGTTTACTATTCAAGCTTACTACTGGAGAAATGATTTTAATGTCTGAGAGCCTAGACAACAGTGTTCTTTAATATTGTATTAAACTGAATGTAGTATATTATTTTCAGCCATTCATGACAATGGCGGTGGTGTGAATGTTTCCACTGTTAGTACAGACATGGGCAAAGACAGGCTTTATACTAGGTTTCCTACCCTTTGTTCTTCCCAGCCATCAGCCAACCACAACGTGTTAAAAGTGAGATTTGTCTCAGAAATGTTTGCACACTGCCTTAGAGACCACCCACACCTTGCCCCCCTCGTTCCAAGAGCACTGGGCTCTCTCTTTCTGGAAAACATTTGTTTGATAAGAAGTTGTTTAGAGTCCCACTTCCATTCAGAATATCAGACTTAGAAAATAATAATACCCTAGTCTTATGAACGCACCAAAAATGCCTGTCTAGCATGAAATCCTGACAAAATGGCAAAGAGATCAGGACAGTTCAATCAGGGGAGGCATGGATTTATATTATAAAACTTTTCCCTGCCTAAATCCTCAACTTTGATTGAATGCTTACCTTCCTTTTCATGCAGCAATGTCTAAATCAGAGGTGGGCGATTATTTTGGGTGGAGGGCCACTTACTGAGTTTTGGCAAGCCATCGAGGGCAGCATGATAGGCAGCCAGGAGCAGATAAATATGAATTTTCTAAATTTTTTAGGGGCGCCGTGGGCCAGATAGAATGGCCTGGCGGCCCTCATCTGTCCCCTGGGCCACATTTTGCCCACCCCTGGTCTAAATGCTGCTCTGTGAAGATCTTGCTATCCTGTGTTTACAGACTTTCCAGAAAAGCATTCACCCTTGTGACCACTTGTAAAGCTGCATTTCTTTCTTTTTTAGCTCATTTGGTGCATGCATGCAACACTAAACTTTTGATCCTTCAGATCCTTTTAGACCTCTTCATATATTTACAGGTACATTTTTGGCTTTACATCTTAGCAAATTCTACTCTCTTTATAGTGAAAGATCTATTGCAACAATGAAAAAAAATCATGTCTGAAATATCTTTTAACAACCAAACATTTGGATCAATGTAACAACTGACAGCAAAGGCAGGATCATACTTTCGCAAAGTGCATTTCAACAGTTATTTAATCATATGAATCCAATCCTACTTTCCACAAAGCTGGGCTTTGCAACCTGTCTAGAAGATGAGCAAGTCTGGGGCTTTGGCAGATCAAGAGAATGAATTCCACAGCTTTGACTAGTGAAAGGAGAACAATCTTTTATTTGAAGAACTATTTTTTTGAACAAGTTTCAGAAACAACAGTACAGTTCACGGGTGAGGACCTAGCCCAGTCCCACCTGGCCCAGCCCCATGTGGCCAGGCCAGGCAACATGAGTAGCCCAGGGCTGGCAGGACCTGGCTCGGCTCCACGCGGTCCCCGGGCTGCTCATGCTGCCCGGCCCAGCATGCGGGGACCAGCCCAGCCCAGCCGAGAAGCAGATGGGCCCAGGGCTGGCTCCCGCCTCTGCCCCACTGTGCCTGCAGGGGTGGGGGGTGAGGACCTGGCCCAGCCCCATGTGACTCTCTAGTCTGGCTTTGCACCGGAGCGGGTCATGGCTCCAGGTCTGACCCTGTGCTCACCTCCTGGAGTCATGCGATCCGCTCCGGTGCAAAGCCGGACGAACAAGCTGGGCAACACGAGCAGCCCCAAGGGTGGCAGAACCTGGCTGGGCCCAGCACGCAGTCCCCATGTGCTGCACTGGGTCCTGCCACCAGGAGACCAGCCTGGCTGGGCGGCCGGAGCAGCCGCAGGGCCGGTTGGACCCAACTGGGCTTGGCGCACAGTCCCCCTGCTGCTGCTTTCAAAGGTCAGTTATAGACACTGGGCAGGGGGGCTGTGGCCCTCCAGGGGTGAGTTGGGGCGAGGGGCTGCACCTTGTGGGGGCCAGGGGACCCACCCCTCCTGAGCAGCCCCCCCACAAGGTCCCCCACACCCAGTCCCCCCAGCAATTGCCTCACACCTACCTACAGACCAACCCACATCCCTCCACACACCCACCCACCTGCTTGCCTTCCCCTACACCCCTTCTCATCCCCTTCCTGCAAACACCACATCCTCCCATCATGTGTGAAGAAAACAAAGTACACATGAACACATATAGGTATTCAGAATTTATTTTTTCATGATAATAGAAACACTGGTAGGCTTCCAAATTGCTTTAACACTAAATATACCAATAAAGCATTACCCAACTGATCGCTCTCTCTCTCTCTCTCTCTCTCTCTATATGTGTGTGTGTGTGTGTGTGTGTGTGTGTGTGTGTGTGTGTGTGTGTGTGTGTGTGTTACATGGATTTTGGGGTATCTTTAAAACTGGATTTGGGATGCTGCTGCAGCAGTTCAGCTGACAAGGGGTAGTGTCCCCAGGTACCAAGTGCCCAGGCCCCAGAAGCTCCTGAAAGCAAGTAGCCCTGAGCTGCTTGCCAGGGCAGCGTTTTGTATGGATGGGGCCAGGACAGGGAAGTTTTTTAGCTCTAGCTCCCCCTGGCTGCAGATCCAGGAACAGCCAGGCAGGGTTATTTTGCGCCAAGTGGCACAATTTGCTCCACAACAAAGTGCATGTCCGAGCACATATGCCGAGGCAAAAAGCCCCGGCTCAAATTTGCACTGCTTCTATATGAGCTGCTGCAAGCGCACGTGCTTGCATGTGTGGATGCACCCAACGGGTGTGGTTGAAATCTTATCTGCCCAATTTAAATTGTTCCATGCCATGCTGGTACGGTTTGGGCAACCCTCTGTCCTTGCCCTAAGGAAATCAGCGTGCCAGGCGCGGCTGGTGAACTCAGACTGGTGGGGAGGGTGGAGCGTCCCATAGGAGCAGGGGGGGGGGGGGGTTGCAGCCAGCTGGGAGCTGGGGGGTTTGCAGCCCCCCCAGTACCGGCCAGATTGCCTGGCCAGCTGCCACCCCCTCCGGTTTGCAACGCTCCACCTGCCTCACCAGTCTGAGTTCACCAGCCGTGCTTGCAGCGTACCCTTATTCATTCAATACTGAAGAAATCCAGGTAGGAAAAAGGCTCATGGAGAGGTAAACACTGAGAAAATATTAGGTACAAATCACCCAGGTGTACTGTGTTGCTGTCTCCACCTGCTTCTCAATAATCAAAGAGCCCACACTGACAACAAACTCACACTGATGAAAGGGAACAAGTACCTCAAAGTTTGGGCCAACAAAAATACAAGATTGAAAGCAGTCATTTTACCAATGACAGCAGAGGTCTGCAATAATCAATCTTCATTCAAGGCAGAATGGAGATAAATATTCTTACCAATCTTTCATTTACTTATCTGAAAATGAACACTCAGAAAACAGTCAGTGCTAAATGTATTTTTTTTCCAAAATAAATTGGGGGATTCCCCCTATTTTTAAAGTCTGTACTAGTACAAAGACTAATATGCATAGGCTTTACTGCCACCTTGTGAATATTTGAAAAACCAGCAGCTTTAAAAACAAACAAGACATTGCATTTCACATTAGAATTAGTCCATATGGACCTGATTCTACCATCCTTAATCACATTTAGCCCCACTGATTTCACTGAAAGTGCTTGGTGGACAAGATACTACTTAATAAGAGTGAAAATGGCAGAACTAGGCACTTTATGAAAGAATATAAAATAACTGTATAAAATGTCTACAGTCACAAGTCCACTGGTTTTGTCTTGATTTATTACCATCTTTTTCTAAAAAGAGCACTAAATTCTTTCTGATAAAAATATTGCAGCTCTACATCCAATTTGTATAGCAATCTTCAAAACTGAATAAGCTGGTGCCTAGAAAACAAAGAAGGACTCTTAAGTAAGCCATGTAGTGTATACAAAAAAAAAAAAAAAAAGTGTGTTATATCCATCCCAGTAGCTGCATATTGCAATTTCTTCACACAAATATGATGGGGGTGAGGGTGGGGGGGCAAAAAGGGGAAAGTAGAGGGGCCACCCAAAGTTCCTGGCATGTTAAGTTTTCCCTCCTTAATAAATATGGCTAAGTAGCGTTCGGAATACAAGAGGATGTCTGTACCCTAAAGATGGAAAGGAATAAACAGCATTTTGCACACACGACACACATCAATCTACATAGCTGAAAAGATCAGGACTGAATTTTCTTAAATGCAATAGCATATCTGAGTGCGCTGCTTTAACCGTGAAAATTGGCATTTGATAGCAGTATGCCTGGATTCCAATGGATACTATTAAGTTACTGAACGAAACTGAAGATTTCAGTATGAAAATAAAATCTAACATCATTTGATATCCTAGGGAAGAGTTTCTCAGTGTTACCTTAGATCTATGTCCAGAAAAAAAACCAAGAACATAGTGAAGAATTTCATGTACTACTATTTTCTACCCATCCTATGTTTTCATTAGAGCACTAGATGCACTCACACACACTATTGAGCTAATAATGCTCTAAACCTACCAATTCTGCATTGTGGTCAAGCCCCATGTCATGATGTTCCAGCTCTTCATCCCGGAACTGTTTTATAATCTTTAAAAAATATGTATATACACAGCAGATTAGTACCAATAATCTTTATACAGGTGTCATCCAATTATACTGTACCATAAACTTCTGGCCAAACCACCACCACTTAAGGAATAATAAATTTGAGGATAAGATCTTTTGGCAGCTGAAGAGCACACACCAACTGCTGAAGCTTCCTTAGCCTGACGAAGGGTTTTTGAACCCGAAAGCTTGCTTAATAACTATTCTCCAACCATTTGGGTTGGTCTAATAAAAGATATCAAATTCACCCAAGGAACCTTGTCTGCCTTTGGCAGCTGAATGCTTTTGAGGAACACCCTGTCCTACAGTTTCCAATGAGAAGAACCCATAGCTGTAAAGTATGAGGCAGAAGCTTCTAAAACAGAGGTAGGCAAGCCCAACATGCGTGCCAGAGTGAAGGCATTTTGCCTGGCACGCACGCCTCAGGGGAGACAGTGGGGGGAGTCACAAGGGGCCTGATCTTTGTTGTGGCAGAACAGCCCTGGCCCCTTCCCTGCCATCTGCCAGGGAGGCACAAGTGCACCTGCTGCAGGTAACGAGCTGGGCAGGGAGTCAATGGACCCCAGTGCAACTGCTTGCAGCCTCCCTGCCACCAGCTGCGAGCACAGTGGACGGCAGAGAATGCATGCCTCAGCATGGACAGTGGGGAATGCATCAGGGCTGCATTATTACAACAAGGATCAGGCCCCTCGTAGCTCCCTCACTGTCTGCCACTGGCACGTCAACAACATCATACAAGTCAAGGTTGCAGGTGTTTTTGGCAGTGGGCCCAAAAACATTGCTGGCCCCTGTTCTAAAATAACCAGCTTCATGCAATTTTTGGAGCCACAGAGAAATCGTGTGGGCTCCCAAACTGAATTCAAATACGTTTAAATTTAAACGCATTTCAAATAGAAAACTTCTATCTTTAAAAGACAAAAAGGGTTATCTTTCTGCCTGTTAGGCAAAAATATTTTAAACTGTGAAAAAAAAATAATCTGCTGTAAATCCTACTATGGTATCCATGTCATTTTAAAAGTAAACTCTCAAAACATGGTCAGAGAATGTGTTAAACTATTTTTAAAGTGTAGTCAGATACCAGTAATAATTCTTTGTATTTTTCTGGATCCTCCTCCATTAGTTTCCTGATCTGATTATTATAATGATGGGATATGCTCTCTTCCACTGCCACAGTACAGGCCATGGCACTTTCTTTTCCAAGTAAAGCTGTTCCAGCACCTGTGATTATGAAAAAAATAAAGTTAAACAATTCATTCCAGATCTACATTATTAATAGCCAATGTCAACAACATGAACTCACCTAAAGCAAACCCAGCAATATTCCAAAACGGCAATAAAATAGTGGGTCGAACTCTATATGCAACCATTAACTCATTAAACTTCTTCAGGTGCTCCTTTTCTTGATTCCACATGTGCTGCAACAGAAGTGAAATCGTAAGTTTTATTTATGTTTATGCTTTCCTGCAATGTAGCTATAAATGCACAGGAAGATGCGTTGGATTTTAAGCTTAGCTCATATTATCTTTAAAAGTGTTCTAGAAAATAAATAATTTTCAAATTGGGATTATTTTTCTCCAATGTAAAAAGAATATCTGAAATGCATATGTATGCAGATGGGTTATGTTTCCCTTCAATTCCCTTCATTTTACATTAGGAATTCCTGTCCTGTCTAACTTGGAAAGTTCCATGATTGAAGAATTAGGAAATGATGAGAGCAGAAGAGACATGCCGATTTGTTAGTTGTTCTAAACTGCTGTTTAAATTTCATACTTGACAATTTAGGTAATGGATTATGACCACTTTACATCATTCTTCCTTCATTTAAAAAAAAGCCTTATTTTGAGTCTGAACTTCATACCTACAACAATGGGAAGAACTGTATGGCAATGATTCCCTTCATCCAGTCAGATAACTATTTTATTATGTCAGAAACATATTTTGCAATTAAAAGAGCTAGCATGGTGTTTGCTGCTTAAACACCTGGCCTTGGGACACCAAGGACGCATCCAGACATTTGGTTCCCTGGGGACAAGTAGCGGCAGTACACCTAGCACCACCACTTCTTGTCCCTGGGGAACGCCCATGCCACACGCACTTTGGAGCATGGCAAGTTACCTCAAGTGGGGCAGGGGAGGCTGGGGCCAACACTGTGCTGGCCCCAACAGCCTTACCTGGGTCCATGGGGCCTCCTGGGGCTGCAGCTGCGGCGACTGTGCCTCATGGAGCCTGGCTGGCAGTGGAGCACAGCTTTGGGCGGGCTGGCTGTTTTTTAGCAGTTTGCGCTGGCCAATTGTGCATTGCTCCAGGTTTTTTTTGCAGTGCCACATACTGCATGATCGCACTCATCTGGACATGCCCTAAAAGGTTATGCACTTTCCCAGAACATGCACTTAACTGAACTCAGTGTAAAAAACACTAAGTAACTGCAGGAAAAGTTTGCTCCAGGCTTTTGGCACCTCTGAATTAAAGTTTTGTTTTCTAGAGTGCCTCTTGCTTCTGACACAGAGGTGGGCAAAATACAGCCCCTGGGGGACAACCCAGGTGATGGCACGTGTGGCTGGTCCTGTTGCCTCTGGGTATGGAGTGCTGCCTGGCGCAGAGCACAGCCTGCCATATCCCCACACATGACTCTCAGGCATCCCAGGGGCTGTAGTCTGCAGGGCCACGTGGCACAGGAGCAGTGGGGGTGGCGCAGCTGCTGGACTTGGTTTCCCAGCAGCCCCCAGAGCCACGGCTCCTTCCGGCTGCCGCCGCCAGTGTCTCTGTCAGCGCCAATGCCAAACCTGACCCCGCTGCCCAGACACCCCAGCCTGTCCACCACACCCACCGCCAGGCACCAGACAAAGCAGGAGGGCAGGGTCTCCATGGAGAGCAGCCCAAGACCCTCATGGGCTAGGCATGCTCAGCTGGGCAAATGGGACATGGCTACAGGCAAGCAGAGAGCGGGAGAGTTGGGCAGGGCCAGGATGGCGGGGTGGTAAGAGCATGGGGCTGGGGCCGGGGGCAGTCATAGTCCATTCCTTGCGCTTCCCTGCAACGGGTGCCAGTTCTATGGACAGGGGCCGGCTGCTGCCTGCAGAACCGGTGCCTGTCACAGGGATACGCAGGAAGCAGATTGTGGCTCTGCCCCAAGACCGGGCCCCAGTCATCCTGCTCCCTGCCCACCTGTGGTCCCATCCCATCTGCCCGGCCCAGTGCACCCTACCTGCAGGGGTCCCAGGCCAGTCTCCATGGAGACGCCCCCACCCACCTGCTCTGTCCAGAGCCCAGCAGTGGGTGCAGGGTGGACAGAGCTGGACAGGACTAACTGGCAGCCCTACCCCCCCTCCCCCGCACAGCCACTGGGAGGGAGGGGGTGGGGCTGAGCCCAGATCCACACACCCCTGCTCTCAAAAGCTCCCCAAAGCTCCTTAAGTGGCCCTTCAGCCCAAATAATTGCCCACCCCTGCTCCAACATCAGCCTTGACATTTGACACAATACAGTCCTTTGCTCAGCTGCTTTAAAAGCTTCTGCTCCGATTCAGCCATCACGGTGTGAACGAAAGAACAATTACATTACAAAGTACAGAGTGGGGCGAGCAGCTTTTAGCAGCTGACACGCACAGTCTGTAACACTGTAAGCAACAGGCCACAAACGGGGACACTGCTGCCACACAGGCCGGGCTCGGACGGTGCCCCGCGAGGGGGTCGCCCTGGACGTGACTCCGCGGCCCCCCAACGACCCCCCGCACCGCACGACGTGCCGCCCCG